CACACACACACACACACATACACATATACACATAATCGATACATACACATACCATTCAGTCAGTGCCCGAATAGAAAACCCAGGATGTAAACACCTGTTTGTGTGCAGTTGTGAGCATGCATGGATCTCTCCACTGGAATGTTTCAAAGTGACTGTGGGGGACCATTCACATGTTTGTTTTGTTTTAATGAAATGAATAAAGAATTGAAACTGAAACTGAAATATCACGTAACTTTTACCCCCATATCTGACTTGCTGATTCCGTCCTGTTAGGTTTCAGGACCTTGTTAAAAAATGAGAAAATGGTGCGCACAGTCCAAAAGTTTTAATTTTTTAATTAAAGCATGGATGCCACGTCCTTCGTAATAAAGCAGAGAGAGATCATCCAGCCTGTTATCAGCGAACAGTTCAAAAAGAAGCCTCTCTGATGATATGGGGGTGCACTGGTGCTTCTGGCATGGGCAGCTTGCACATCTGAAAAGGCACAATTATTGCAGAAAAACGTATTAAGGTTTTAGAAGAAATTATTCTCCCATACATCCATGAAAACAGGATGGCTTCACACCTGCCTGCAGTCCTGACCTGTCAGCAACATGCATCAAACTAAAGAAATCCAACAAAGTTTGACTGTCGATCAGCTAAAAATGTCACCACGTTCATCTCCAGTAAGTCCAACAACGTGGTCTCTTTTTTTCCTGGACATTTACAGACTAAATGGATGCTTCTAAGTTCAAAACATGGAGTCTTGCTACCATAAAATTCAAAATGACCTCATGTTCTTAAACATTTGATTATTATATTCTARTGTGAGTAAAATATGAATTTATGAAAAGTTACATTCTGTTCTTATTTATTTGACATGTTTTGGGTTTGGGGTTGTTATTTTCATGTAAAGGAGGCTGCAGGACTGTTGATACAGAGGTGAGTGAAGTTAAAGGCTGTAAGCACCACTTTTTAAATAAAACTGCAGAAAAGCACTAATAAAAGAATGACAGAAATTAACTGTCAGAGAATTGTTTAAAATAAAAATCTAGCATTTCTTAGGAATAAAACGCTTTTCATGTCACAGATTAAAAAAAACGATCATCTCATGCTGAAAAATTACAAAGTTACAGATATTTTGTTTAAATCTTAAAAATACACGACTCCTTGTCACTGTTACAGTACAGGATGCAGATTTGAAAATGAACATAAATCAAAATTACTCTAATTGGCTAAAGTTTAGATTTAATAAAGTTACGATAGAAAAAACTATTCCTACTGCTCAAACATGAAGTTGCTTTGTGTGAAGTGCTGAGCTCTGCTCTCTGTTCCACCTCCTGCTGTTCAGAGGATTTGTCCAAAAAGGCCTGAAATAAAATGTTCATAGCTGTGATTAAAAAAAAAAATCACCAAACTGATTATTTTTATTACTGCAGTGAGAACAAAGAATGTCCTCGCTCACATCCCCTCCACCCCACCACACCCTTTCATGAGAGGAAACAAGGACCAGCTCTGTGCTCGCCCTCTCACTCTGTTTATAACCTCCTCTGTGTGACACTTTTGCCTCATATCAGAGCAATAAATATGACTTTTTTTTATCTTAAACACATTTCATTACAGCTAAAAGCTCAGGCTGAACCACTGAAACACACCCGCTCTATACGGACTGATTCACTCTGGAAGGAAGTCAGTCAGATGGGATGACATTCCTTCAGACGAGCCTGACCAACCCTCCACCTGAACTCTGAGCTCTGTAAGGCTGATTTAACATTGTCAGAACTGTTTTCTGCATCCTGCAGTCCGTTCAGCCTTTTTCTTCCTCACTTCCTGTTCAAAATCCTGGAACCTTTCCCCTACTCCTAAGGAAGCTAGTGAATAGTGAATACTTTCTGAATGATTTTATATTTACTATAACAATGTAACATATATGCGTCAATCTCTGGGGCTATTTTTGTACCTGCAGAACKTTTGACTGGATCTCCCAAGTCCATGAGTCACAGGGAGGGGTTTGTGGCTTTAATGTTYATGTGCCAACAGGACATTTTCTATTTTTATAATTTGTTCGAGATTTGTTTAAAAAGTATTTATTGATTAAACTATTTTATCTGACCATGTCTGTAGAGTCAGTCTGATTTATCAGCCTTTTCTGACAATTGTTGGTGAGAGCAGAGAAATGGTTTGTTTGAGTCTGCAACTTTTATTAAAAAATAGCAACAAAGAAATATTAGTCGTTTTTCAATTTTGGTTCAATAGAATAATTATTAAAGGGATCCACGATTAGTTGTAACATTAAACTTTATTTGATAAACATTTATTTTAACTATAAAAGACTGTAAAAATACTGTAGGCTGTTTAGATTTGTAATTTTTTTAAATATATTTTTACACGGACGGAGCCATTATATTTACACACAAAGCATTCTGGGTAAATGATGACGTGGATAGGTCCTCGGTGCGAGGCTGCTAGCGAGCTATATCCACTCTGAAGTTTAATCTCTGACAATATCTGACGATTGTCTCTTTTAAATGAAACCAGAGAGCGTTGACAGAGAGGAGAAGGTAGAAATGACTCAGCCTG